ATGAGCTTCTCAGCATGGAATGTGGGCGCGTGGTGTTGTCAGTCAAAAGTTTCGCCGCGTCTGTAAGTGCGGAAATTCGTCCGCGACCCTGATAAGCCAGGCCGACCGAGGTGCGTCATCCCGATAGCTGTCTCTCGCAGCTCCATCCTTGAAACCGCTACTCCCTTGTGAAAGCCGATCATCGCATAGCAAGACGAAGACAAACAACCATGACAGAAGCTCCGTCTTCCCCTCGTGAGGGCAACATCACGCATACACATCGCTTATCCGTATCACACCACAATCACATCACCAGCACGCCGCAGCACCCCTGACTCAAGCCGTCGGCACCCGCCGACCCTGCCCCAACCGAACTCACACCACCCTCTCACCACCGTCATCACATCCAAAGTTTCGCACCAGTCCAGACCAATGACAGTGTCCGGGAACAAGCGACTGCTTTCCACAGCTTCCATGTCTGTTGCCCGATACGGGTTGTGTTTTGCTGCTGACTGTTAATTCTGGTGTGCCTGGCTTGTCCCACATGTCAGGCCAGCCGTTTCGGGTTGCGGCGTAGGGCTGAGGAGGATAGAGGGCTCACGCCATGGGTTGGTGGTGCGATCGCGGGTTGGTGAGGGTGATGGGGATGTAGGGTTGGGGGGTGGGTTGGATAAATAGGATGAAGGGTTTGAGGGATGGTAGGTATTCACAAACATCAACGACTACTACTACAACTACTGGTATCAACAGTCCAGTTCATACACCTCATACATCTTTCCACTCAGCATAAGACGCAAACACCAAGTTTGTCTACACAATACTACGGCAACATCACTTCCATCTCAACTCCATCTCAACCAAACCTCTATCTTCACACAACCACACAAACCCCAACACACAACCATGCCCTCACCAACCCAAGCCCGCCTCCTCTGGCGCACTCTCTCCCGCAGCATGGTCGAACCCCATCCCTTCGCCCGAAACCCAATTACCATGACGCCCCATGCATGGCGAGCTGGAGATCTCTCAAGAAAACTGGTAAAGACGAGTGCTGTGTAAGTCCCTTCGTCTCTTCTACAACTAGCCTTTTCGTTAGGAGTTTGTCGTTAATAGTGATTTAGATACTTCCCGTTCTACGCGGTTATATTTGGCTGGCCGGTCGCAGCGTCGTGGTGGTTTAACGGGAATATGTGACTCGGAACTGCTGAGGGAGAAGGGGAGGAAGAGAGGAGTGAGACGGAGAAGGGTGTAGGGAAGAAGAAGGGGTTGAGTAGTAAGGAAGTTGAATGTTTGGTGTTGAATATGCGGTGGGATGATTGATTGGAGTTTGCATTGGAAAGGCGTCTAGGTCTTTGAGACATTGCATTTTCGTCTTTCTGCTGGAAGACACTTTCGAAAACCATTACTATTTTGCTCAAACGCACTTTTCCTACCCTTCACAACTCATTACCAATCACCTTACCGCAACACGGCAATCCTACCATCGAACCATCACACCACCCACCCCCTACAAATCCAGCACAACCCTCCCAACCCCCCTACTAACACAACTCAACATAGCCCCCTCCTCCATCTCCTCCCCCAACAACCCCGTCCCCCGATGCTCCACCCTCCCCCCACAAACATCCACCCTACACGTCCCACAATTCCCCACCTCGCACGAACTATCAATCTCCATACCCACAGCCCTCAGCGCATCGAGCAGCGACTCCGTAGCACGCACCTCCACCGTCTTGCCGCTTTGTTTAAGCTCCGCGGTAAACGGGTCTCCGGACGTAGCTACCGTAAACGCTTCAATGTGGACGGAGGACTCGGGTATACCGTAGGATTTCGCGGTCGCGACGACGGCTTCCATGAGGCGAGGGGGGCCGCAGGTGTAGATGTGGGTTTGCAGATCGGCTTTTGATAGGATAGCGGGGAGGTTCAGGCGTTGGCCGAGCGATTTGTTGTAGATTGTTGCTTTGGATCCCAGTGCGGCGATTTGAGAAGCGAAGGGTATTTCTTCTGCGACGGCGTAGTGGAGGTGGAAGTCTTGGTTCGTTTCCTGGAGGTAGGTAAAAGCTGTCAGGAAGGCTGTTATGCCGATGCCGCCTGCGATGATGATGATGTGTCGGTCTGCGGTTTTGGCGAGGGGGAAGCTGGCTGTGATGCGACCGACGGTGAGGATGTCGCCGACTTTGGTCTGTGAGTGGAGGTATTTGGAGCCGCCGCGGCTGCTTGGGTCTAGTGCGACACCGAGCTCGAAGCGCTTTGAGGTACCGCTTACGACGGAGTAGGCGCGTACTAACTTTCCTCCTAGCTTTAGTCGTACGTGGCTACCTGGTTCGACGGGCGGTGGCTCTGGGATGTCTTCAATGGATTCGAAGATGAAGGCCGTAACAGTACTCGTCTCCCTTCGCTTCTCCACAAGACGGTATTCATTCCAGGCATCCATCTTCTCGTCCTCGCCACCAAACAGTCTGCTATTGTGGTCTTCAACAACACCTCGGTCTAGACGTTTCTGGAATTTCCCTTTGATGTCCCATCCAAGCTGCGGCAGCTGCACAATCTGCTTCATCATCTCCACGTTGCTTGTTTCGATGAAAAGGTAGTACATAACCCTGGCTATCGTCCACTCTGGATGCGGTCGCTCGAGTAGGGAGATCATGTCGCCTGCAGTGATGGTGCCGGTCTTGATGATACGGTACATCCACCCCGTACGTAGCAGCGTCTGTGTGCGCTTGGCCATGTCTTTGACCTCGAAGCGGTGGTTGAGCTTGTAGCAGGGTCCGCGTGGCTCACTGACTTCGACAACGATGTCACCGATGGCCAGTCGATCTCCAATACAAAGGTTCATCTCGCTGACTTCGGTGTTGAATAGGTTCTCGCCAAACGCACCGGGCTTGAAATGGTGTTCTGAGGCGGGTAGCTCTTTCTTCCACTCATCGTAATGTGATGTGCAATAGTGGAGGAGCGCTTTGTCTGGGCCGCCGTGCAGATGAAATGCATGTTCATCTGTCGGAATACCAAGCTCGGTGATTTCGACTGGACCCGTCAGCGGTCCTTTGTAGATGGCAGACTCGATCTTGCCATTTCCAAGCGACTTCTTGATCTTGCCGGCGCGTAGTTGAATGAGCGGGAAGGGCTTAAAAGGCGCTGGGTTGACCAGTGTGTCGGGGTTTGGAGGCGGCGGCGGTACCCACGTCGAGATAGGCATGCTTGGAAGAGTGTTTGGGTTAGTTGAGTACCATCTGGCGGAGCTGTAATTGTTCGACCTCTACAAGCGTTTCTTTATTTCGGTCGTGAAGACTTGGTGCTCCGTGCGCCAGGTCGAGTCAAAGGGAATAGACAATGGCGGCATCAATGACGAACGTGCACTGAAGAGAAAGCTTCTTCTACTTCACACACTAACTCAGAAGGTGTTTAAGCAGTCATCAGGCGTGCAACGATACCTAGGTAGCCTGCGGAATCGCCGGGGATAGGTCTAGACTTGATGTAAGCTATACTACACTTAGAAGGTACATACGAAGATATATTTGCCAAAGAAGTCGATGGGTCTTGAAGACAGCTAGATGGACAACTTGGTAAGCATGAAAGAGTCATGTTAGATATGCGTCAGAGCATCGTGACCGGCCTGACTAGAAGACCACAGTATGTCATTCGATCCTTGGTATCCTGTACATTTGACACTCCTGTGTTGTCTCCATGTTGTTCCAATATGTAGAGTCTGGCGGGATGTTGCCTGTTAAACGAAAAGCTTGTACCAAACAAGCCTGGAGACGCCTAGTCACAGGCAACGAGGAACGGCGGAGGTCGGAGATGAGCGCGACTCCCCGACCCGGGCTTGGACGCGTTGACTCGCCCGGATGTACAAGTCATACGTCAAGTCAAAGACCGAAGTAACGGTATTGGAGACGTCGTGACGCGGATGAATGGTCGGATTGTAGTTCAGACGATGAACGCGTCGTGTGTCACGTGGGTAGCGGCCTCGGCTGCAGTTTGGTGGAACTGACGTCAATGTGAGGGTCCGTGGACAAGCTCCGAGCTACAGCATCAACTCGTCACCGCGATCTCGAGATACTCAATTGCTTCTGACCCCGCTACTACTCGACTTCCAATCCTCCAGACCTCAAGCATCTAATATACTTAATCGGAGACCAACACCTGTCGCACATCGCAACCTGACAATGTTCCGCATCCAACCCGCACGCGCCGTACAACGCGCAACCTTCTCTCGCGCAGCCATCGTTCGCCCTCGCTTCCTCAGCACAACGCCAGCACGCTTCGCTCAAAAAGATGCGCAAGACAAAGACTCGCTCAAGCCTCGGTCGACCGAGTACGCCAAGTCTGGCTCCGACGATGGCGCCGCACACTCGGACGCTGCCTTCGACCCCAAACAGACCAGCCCAGAGGAGGCGGAGGCAACTGCTGAGAAGGAGGCTGGAGGTCCACAGAACAGCTTGAACGCCAGCCCGGGCAACAAGAAGGTCAGCGAACCCAACAGCCCAGATGTTGGCGGCAATGGCGGCGCGCCGGACAAGAAGAGCAGCGGTGGAGGCAGTGCGCCCAAGAACAGCACAGGATAGATGCAGATACCACGCGGACAGACCATAGTCATGATGAGGGGATGCCAAAGGCAGAGACATCAGGTAGCTATCGAGGGTAATCAAGGGCGTATAGGGAGCATCACATCACAGCATCATAGCATTGGGAGTCGCATCCCAGGCACCCAACTGTATATACCCCACAATCGAAAGAGAAAAAAAAATGCCAATTCCGAAGCCACGAAAACCAGTGACGTGCCCATGCTGCAGCTCCACCGGATGCGGCATCTGCGTGGAGCAACCTCAGTCTTGCACCCATGCAATGACGTCACAGCCAATGACGCTGCCCACAAGAACGCGGCAGCAACATCCGTCTTTGCACAACAAAACATCTTCACACCTCTTTAATCCTCCTACTACACTTCTAAACCCCCCTCTCTCAAACCACAAACCTCACACATCCCCCTCTCTTAAACCTCAAACCACAAACCCATCAAAATGGCACCCCGCGCCCTCTACACAGCAACCCGCTCCCTGCGCGCTTCCACCCGCATCCCCACCTCGCGCACACCAATCACCACGCTCACCACGCGCCGCACCTTCCTCAGCACACCCACGCTGCGCATCAAAGAAGACGCAGCGCGCACCCCCGAACAAGTCGAAGCCGCGAAGCAGGAACAGCTCCAGGAGCAGGAAAAGGGACAGGGCAGATGGCGCGAGGACCTTGCTAGTCATGGCGAGAGCAACATTGCGGCGGATAGACAGCAGGTTAGTGATCATGAGGAGCATATGAAGGAGCTGCAGCGGGAGGGGAAGGAGAAGGGGGAGAAGGGGGAGATGTAGGGAAGGAAGGATGGAAGGAAGGAAGGAAGGAAGGAAGGGTGGTGCTGAAGGTTGAAGAGGGGTGGAAGGTGGTGGTTGTGTATATGGATTGAATCAAGCGCATATTACACGAACGAACTGTACCCAAAGAAAAGGAAGCAGCAGCATGTTGAAGCCGCCCACATCTCCCTTCCCAGCCTCATTCCCTCTCAAACCCATCCCCACCCCCTCAAAAATTCACAACACTAGCCTCCAGCACCCCCTCCTCCCCAATCAACGCCTTGAGCACATCCTCCCCAACCATCTTATCAACCCCCAAAATCATCAACGCCTCATTACTCCCCTCCCTTCCCCCTTCCACCCCATCCCCACCTCCACCATTACTCTCATGCATCCTCTCCTCCACCTCCCCATCCAACGGCGCCACATTCATAAACTCAATATTCACCCCCGCCTTCCCCAGCAAATTCCCCACATACCCGATCTTACCCACACTGTCAAAGTTGCGACAGATGAGCAGGGTACCGCGGGGCACGAATTCGCCTTTGAACTTGTCGAGGCGCGAGATGAAGGGTTTGTTGCCGGAGACGAAGCCTTGGATTATTTGGTCGGAGGAGGAGGAAGAAGGAGAAGAGGAAGAGGGGTTGGTGGTGTTTTGGAGGGCGCGGGCGGCGGAGGGAGATGCGTTCCGGGAATGTGGTTGTTGCGATACAGAGCGTGAGGCGCGGGCGCGGAGGGTGATGAAGGAGGAGTAGGGTTTATCTTCTACGTTTTCGCGGGAGCGTTGTTCGTTTATGAGGATGCCGCGGTCTTTGGCCAACAACTCTGCATTAACAATATTAATGTTCAAGCCGTCGCTGGAGGTGATGGGCGTGAGCAGTCCCTTAACCAATGCCGCGAAAAGCGGTTTCGTCGTGTTGATCGTAGCGAGCTTGCCTTCGTAGATGAGATCAAAGGTTGTGCGAAAAGAACCGGTTTTCGCGGAGGAGTAGTGTTGGGTGTACAGGCTGCCCATCTTTTCTACGAGGCTGATGAAGGGTTGCAGGGTGCGGTATTCGTCCGGGAGGACGATGGGTGCGTTGACGGCTGAGCGGGGGAGTTCGCCGCTGAGGATTGAGACGACTTGTTCGCAGACGTCGATGGACACGTTTTCTTGGGCTTCTTTGGTGGAGGCGCCGAGGTGGGGCGTTGCTACTACTTTTGGGTGGGCGATTAGGCGGGATGCTGATGAGTCTTGTTCGGGTGGCTCGGAGGTGAATACGTCGATACCTGCCCCAGCGATGACACCAGCGTCTAGAGCTTCGACGAGAGCATCTTCGTCGATCATGCCGCCGCGTGCTACGTTTAGGATGCGGGCCGTTGGCTTCATTGTCTCTAGTTCGGCCTTGCCGATCATGCCTTTAGTCGAGGCGATCAAGGGAGTATGTAGGGTCAGGAAGTCGGCCTCTTTTAGGATCTCAGCTAGACTTGGGCGGAGGGTTACTGACGCCGCTGCAGCCAAGTTCGGGTTTGCATAGGGGTCGTAGGCTATCAGACGCATACCCAGACCGTTAGCAATACGAGCAACTGTGAGACCGACTAGGAAAATGTTAGCGAGCGTTTATAAACGTCAAGCATCAAACTTACCTTTGCCCAGGCCGACAATGGCCAGAGTCTTGCCTTTTGCCTCCACACCCACCAGTCGACTTCGCTCCCATTTCCCAGCTTTGATACTTTGCGATGCATCGCCGATGTTGCGAGCCACAGCCATCATGACTATCACATGTTAGTCAATGTAAGTATGACCTTACTTAGGCTACCTACGCGCAATGGTGTGCTCCGCCGCAGCATTGATGTTCCCCGAAGGTGAGTTCACCACAATGATACCGTGTGAAGTGGCACTCTGAACGTCCACATTGTCAACACCAACACCGGCACGTGCAACGACTTTCATGTTCTTGGCGGCACCCAGAAGCTCGGCTGTCACCTTCGTCTCCGACCGTACGATGAGGGCGTCATATCCGCCGATGATTTCCTTGAGCTCTTCTGGACTTAGTCCTTTCTTTTCGTCTACATCGAATTGGTCTTTGAGTAATGCCAATCCATCTGGCGAGACCTTCTCTGGTATCAAGATCTTCCTTCTCGCGGTGTGCATGAGGATAGCCATGTTGACGGGTATCGGTATGTGCTGTTTTCGCCGGCACTTGGTGGACTCAAATGACTAGGTATGAAAGAGTTTCAGTGAGTTGACCAAGGGTAAGTGTCGGTTGTGGCGTTGACTGTGAGTTTACGTGAGACTGTATTAGGTGTAAGCGCAAAGCCTACAGGAGGAGTACACTCCATTTTGTACACCCAGAGTAAGACTGCGCCGCTATCGGTCTACTGCAGTAGCATGCGTCAGAGGATTGTCTTTGTGGTAGCCTTACCTGTTGGCTAGGTTTACCCCGCACTCCTTCTACCCCACGGGGTGAGCGCCGCTGCTGCAGGGTCAATTTGGCGAAGTACCTAGGTATCGAACAACGCCCTCGAAACTTTGCAGAGGCGATGTTAAGAATATTCATGGAAGAAACCGCTGAAGGAATATCGATATAATGTAGAACGAGTTTTATTATTCAGTTGTTGTTGTAGTACCGAGCGCTCGCGTCCGTCATGCTACTATACTGTGCATATGTTGCGCAGCGTGGGTAGCCACATATGGTGTGATCTTCAGCGATTGGAGGCTGAATTGCTGTAGAGTGGGATATGCACATCACGCGGGTAGTCGGCGCCGCCCGTTTACCAATTACTACGTGTCTTGAGCTTCTCGTTCTGCACTACCTCGATCCAGTAACCATCGGGATCTGCGTTTTCTGTCAGTTGTCGCTTCGTACGACGGATAGATAACGACTTACCTAGTACGAAAGCGATGTTCTTCATGCGACCGTCAGTAAGCCTCTTCTTCCAGTTGACCTTCTTCTCTTCGAACCGAGCACACGCAGCGTCGAGATCGTCGACAGCAATGCAAATGTGGCCGAATCCTTGGGGCTCATCGTTACCATTGTGGTACTTGAAGTTTGCGTCGTTCTCGGTTTCGTAGTTATAGGTCAGCTCAAGCAGGCCTTCGGTGTTTGCTACCGGGTTGACGCCGTTTGCGGTGTTTTCGGATGCATCGGGGCCGTATCCGAGGAAGTATAGGTTGAAGCCAGCACTTTCGTTCTCAGAGGTGCGCTTCAGTTTCATGCCCATGACGTCTTGGTAGAAGTTGAGTGAGGCCTCCTTGTCCTTGACGCGGATCATGGTGTGGTTCTGCAATCATCAGTACACCAACGTGATGTCTTCCTAGCGCTACTTACCATGCGGTACGAGCCTGTATCGGTGTCCTTGACGTTCTCGGTCTCCTCCAGTGGCTTCTGGCCAATGACCTCCACCCAGTAGCCATCAGGGTCGAGCACAAACGCGATGTGGCGCATGCGACCGTCTGTGAGCTTCTTCTGGAACTTGTAACCCGCATCTTCTAGCCTCTGGCAAGCAGCCTGTAGGTTGTCCACTGAGATGCAGAGGTGGCCGAAGCCTTTGTGTGGTTCCGTGTTGCCATTGCTGATCTTGTAGTTTGGATCGTCTTCGGTGCCGTAGTTGTGCGTCAACTCGACAATTCCCTCGCGGTCGGTCCAGTGGTTGCCGTGCGAGGCGGCCTTCGGGCTATCGTACGCGAGGAAGTAAAGGTCGAACTTGGCGTCGGGGTTCTTGATCTGATTGATCTGCTTCATTCCAAGGAACTCATAGAACTGGACAGAGCGCTTCGGATCCTTGATCCGGATCCTAGCAAATGTGAGTAACTAGCCAATACTATGGGGATGGCGCAGTGAATGCCATGCGGGTACTCACATGGAGTGGTTGAGCTTGTACTTGGATGGGTCGGTCGCCATGGTTGCTAGCGTTCGAATCAGGAAGCTTGGTGTACTGTTTGATTTGAGAGGATGAAATGCAGATGATACGACTACTCGTGATGTTCTTGGTATTGCGAGACGCGTGAAAAGCATTGATTGAGCTCTCTAGCAGTGTCTCAGCGCAATTGAGGGGAAACAGATTCTAAGGCCGATGACGTCTGCGATCCAATGAAGAGCTGCCAATTGCCCCTCACCCGGCATTTGCTCGGAGATCAGCCCGGTGGGTTACAAACATCTCGAATGCGTGCGAACGACGAATCGTCCTATGACGTCGATGTCAAACATGAGCACTATCTACCCAGATCTAGAGATGTCACCAGGTCGATATATCGTTGTAAGGCGCGTCTCATCCAAGAACATCGTCGTGTCGCGTGCGCGCGGGCCCATCCCTTCGGATCACACTCCACCCGTGACCCGGCGCAAGTATGTACCCTTCGTCTGAGTCCCGTTGTGGTGTGTAGATACACGAAACCTGAGTAGCATCTCCAAGCAATGCATGGTGCTAGGCTGCAACAATACAAGCTCTTCATAGCATGAGCGCGAGAGCACGTGCGGCGGAAAACAAGGCTCCGGCCAGCCCAGGTGGTCATAGCTCTCTCTCCTGGGGAACTTCGTCTTGAACATCGTCATGATCAAGATACTGACACGCGCAACTTCTCCCTCGTGATCCCGTCCGTTCCTTCTCGTGTTTTAACGCGTTCCTTACTGTTGCGACGCGTCGCTGGCCGTTGTATCTGCCTTTGCTCTGAGAGAAGGCGCAGATCGGTGAATTAGCAGCACGACAGCGCGGAAGTGGTTGCGCCAACCATAGACCAGGTACGTGGGCATTCTTTCACATCACCGTCATCCAAATCACATCCATTCTTTGCAGCGCGTGGTACTCGCTACCTGCTCACACGTCGCTGAAAGCTTCCCACGCACAGTCTATTGTTCATTTTTAGTCCTTAACACCTACAGCTTCCCCGTCTAATCATGTCTGCAGATCCCGCAATGATCAACATCGCTAAAGTGAGCGACTGGCTCACGCAGAATGCAAACGAACACATCTACCCAAGACTCTTGTAGGTTCCAAATACCACACACTGTTATTCCAACTAACGTCAGTAGCTTGATGTCTCCAAATGGCACACTATTAGCGTACTCAAAGCCTGTCCAGACCAAGGAGCTTCGCGATCAGGCTGCCCTAATATCTATGACATGGAAAGACAACTGCCAAGGACGTCAAAAGCCATCGACCCGCAATGGAGCTACCCAGGACCAGTCGCTGCAACCCGCACTTAGGACACTCACCATCGAGACTCCGGATTGTAATATCATAGTACGCCTATTGCAACCGGAGCTACTGCTCGTTCTCATCGGTAGAATCGCTCCCGGCAAAAAGCAGGGCTTCAAGATTTCGGCCGAGGGACAGGGAGACCCACGCTACCCAGAGGCAGACGACCCAGTTTCACGTCCTGGTTCAAGCAACGAACAGCATTTGACCATCAAAGGCAAAGCGCCCTCATTACTTAGCAACATGAGCCAGCGCGATAGAGATCTTAGGGGCGGCGCGCTTCACGTCCAACGGAAAAGATTAGACGCCCTGGCTGAGTACGTCTTGCAAGACTTCGGCGACACTGGATTTGTCATGCCCGCAGATGCAGACCTTCAGTAGTACGATGATGCGGCTCGGGACGGGGATACTTTACCCCTGCCTCACTCCACGGATACCGATTCTGAGAAGACTGATGGTGACGAAGTACTACACAAGGCATCGCTGGCTTGGTTCAGTTCGCTGACCGTGCTAGTATGAGGCCATTGTGTTACCAGTAAAGAAGCGGACTGTAATAGCGACCTCCCCACGGCCATGTGCTACACTCTAGCAAAGGATCCTGCTGCCTACTAGCTACATGGGTCTGGCCAGTGCTCGGTACAGCTCGCACGCGAACAGGTACCCGTCAGCCAGCTTTACTGTCGAATGGGTCGCACCGAGTTTGTTTCGCTCGCATGGTTGACAAGATTCTCTGCGAGGTGCGGCGCTCTGCAGACTTATGTTGTGAAGAGGAAGAGTTTGTGAATATTGCAGGAATATGCGGACTGCCAAGGCGTAATTACTGGAAGAGATGAGGAAGCATTGGAAACAGCCGTCGTGTATGCGCTGCATTTTTGGATACCCAGGACTCGAATTTGACTTTGTTTGCTGTTCACATATACCTCAAATGACATTCTCTCGGACAATGATAGCTAATTGTCCCAGCATGCGTTGCCCGACACGACAGAACGACTCGATCCCCAAAATGTCCTGCTCAGCAGCGATATAGCATGGGGTACAGCAGCACGTCCATCCATATTGCACGTCATGACAAAGACATCCTCAAAGCCAACCTTGGAAGCGAGGTGTAGCAGATACAAACTCTCCAAACTTGTATGTGGATGCTTATCCAACAATGTCATACATCTGGCGATGGGCCGCGGGTCTTGGATACGCCAAACGGCCGCCACAAACACCAGCTTCAGCTTAATGCACATTCCATCATACCGGCAATGGCTTCGGAACACCCCTCTTAACACCAGGCTCGCCCAAACCCGGAATAACCAAAGGAGCCCTTCTCTCCATCGGCGTCCTACCAATAGGGAAGAACTTCGTGATCGTGTGATCAGGTCCATATGCCTCTTCGACGAGATACACCGTCACTCTCCACCAAGCGCAGAGGGCGGACAGCATCCAGAAGTAGCTCGCAGCCTTCATGCCCATCGTTACTCCGCCAGTGAGGCTATCGCCCGACGCGCTAGTATCCGCCGTGGTGACGCGACGGCCGTTGTACGCGAACATGCAGCAAGCGATCGTACTGCCAATAGCCAGGGAGAAGAGACAGACGCTGAGGACGACATCACGTGCCGTGGCTGCGAGCGCGCCCGACCAGGTGAAGACGCAAAGTATCACAAACCAGGACGCCAGTTCGGGGAAGTGCGTGTGCACTTCATGTGGTTCCAACGCACCAGCCGCCTGCACATCCCTCGTTAGCCCATCATCCCCTACCCTATTTCAAACCCCCCTCATAAACCATCAACACTTACAACAAAAGCATACAAAACCCCAATACTAATCCAAAAGCTTCCCCACATGGTATTTATCACCGTCACCAGCGTATCCCTCGCTTTGAACCCGTATAATCCTGCGATGAACTGCGCCAGGCCGCCGAACAGACCTACGAAAGGGAAGAAGATGGTTGGCGACTCGGAGTTGCCCCACCAGTTGGCGATGTAGGATGAGGTTATCCATGTTGAGCCTGCGAAGCCGGCGAGACCGAGGGCGGCGGGCGGGGCGATGGGTTGGAGGAAGATTTGGATGCCGGGGGTTTGTTGGAGGGTTTGGTCGACTTTTTTTGGGGGAGGAGGCGGCGTGGAGGGCCATTTTGGGGGGATGTTTGTTAGAAGTGGGAAGATGGAGTTTGGACTAAAGTTCCTCTGTGCTGCGGGATGCGAATGGTCCTTGTGGGAGGGATGGTGTGTTTGTGGGGTCAACAAGGATACGGTGCGAGTGCCGGGGAGGTGCTGAATGCAGTCAAATAAGTGATATTGTTTATCAACAGTCGGCGACATCGTTGCAATGATGCAATCGCGCGGTCAGTGCCCAGGTGGAGATGGGATCGTATTGTTCTGCTGTTACGATGTTATGACGATAAGCGTGGCGCGGTAAAGCACTCCGGGTGCTGATCACGAACATCGCGACTTGTTCGCGTCGGCATCTCTTTTCCGCGTGGAGGTTTTGACATCATCGCAACACTGGGAAGTCGTTCTCATTCGTCGAGTTATGTGACAAAAGCTACATGCGACTCAGAAAGGCATTGTGACGATCGTGATCACTGAGGAGATCAAGGATCGCCTATGGGTATTGCCAACTACGGTAGTTCGCGTCGATGTGGAGCGGTGATGCTTGGTAAGGCTTATCTACAATACACATCTGCCCGGTCGATCTAGCTATACATCAAGAGGGATGATGAGAAAAGTCATGGTCATCGCAGTTGATGAGAAAAAAAATAGAACGTGAAGGGAACCGCGAGCACCCATAAAGCACACCACCAACAATTTGCAGAGAACTATTTCCAATAATCAGGTCCTACGTGCTCCAAAATCAGGAGTAATACTCGCGATACCGAGTTCTGGAGTGCCTGCCCATAGTCTGCAATCATCGAACATGACTGAAAGTACATTTTTCATTCAACATCCCGGAGTGATTCTCTCCAGGTGATTCAGTTTCTCAAATGGATGAATTCGTCGACCTCATCATCGCTTACAGCTTCCATTTCCTCTTCGCCGTCTGAACAGTCACCGTCGGTGGTAACCCACGATTCATCGTCGCTATCTCTCTTCTCTTCGTATCCGTCGTCATCGTCCTGCTCTTGTACCTCTGCGATTTGACTGTCGCAGTCGGCCTCGTCTAGATTAATCGGAAACGCCCCAGGTATGTGGAAAGCATCGGAATCCCTGTGGTATGCATCATCCAACGTGGCATATTGTGTGGGTATAATGCTGTCAATGAGTGCCTGCAAAGCGGCTTCTTCAGCGTGTAGAGGTTCTCGATCCTGTGGGTAAATATGAAGATCGCGTTCGTCGAAACACCCCCAAACATATTCCTGTGCTGTTTCATCCATTTGCAGGCCTTCTATGCATGCTTGCTCGAGTGTCTGCATGGTCTCTATATCTCCGTAAAAGGCTGCATAATCCACGATACAGAACCCTGCAAATGTCAGGGTATCAAGCCGAGCGCCGTGGTATATAAGCAATCTGAGTACAGGATGGTTGTTGTGCCGCACGGCCGTCATGACAGCCGTCTGGCCTATTGGAGTTTGAGCGTCAATATCAACGCCTGCGCATAGTAGTTCTTCGCAGACGAAGCGTGTGCTATTTTTAGCCGCGATTTGTAGAAGATGCAGACCATTGCAAACATGGTGCACGTTCGCTCCAGCATCTAGAAGGATGTCAATGACTGAAACGCAAGAGCTTAACCCAACCGCAGTGGTGAGAGGGCTCTTGCCATAAGGCGTAATATGATTGACGTCTGAGCCAGCTTGGATCATTCTGATGCAAGTGGTTCGTGATACGTGTGATCCGCGAAGTGCGTCATACAATGGAGTCGTTCCATCGTGTCCGACCGCATCTATGTCCGCACCAGCTTCGATCAGCATATCTATAGCTTCATCGTTTCTCAGCCTCGCAGCCCAGTGAAGCGGAGTCTTTCCCATGGCATCTCGAACGAGCACTGCGCTCGGTTGAACCCAAAGAAGGTCTCTCAGACGTTCTAAGCACCCTCCGAACAGCAGCTTCGAAGCAGGAGCGAGATCGAGTTCCTCACAAATATCATGTAGATCTGGTCGGCTGTGCAGCTCGTTGGGCAAGCGATCCATTAGAGAACGAATGCCAAACTTTTGGGCAGGCGTCCTGTAGCGATAAGTCTATGTAATAAGATGGTCTTAGTGAAGCCTACATTTTGCCCGTATGCGATGGACATCTCGGGTCCGCTCCTTCATTCAAGAGCATCGTTATCATTGGCACTTCTTGCAACAGAGCGAGCTTCACGAAAACGTTAGCAAGCTCACATATCGGCGAGAACGTACTTACCTGAAGAAATGACTCGGGCTGCAGTGGAGGAGTCATCACCATGTCGATGCTTTTGACTTTATAGAGTTGCATCATGCGCTGCAAATCCGATACAGTCCCAAGTCTTATGGCTCGGCGCAATGCGCGATTCAGGGTGGCATCTGTGATGACTCGTGGTATTTTGAGACTCCAAGTTCCCCCAACACCACCCAGCGAGCGCCAAGATCCCGCAACTTCAATTCCCAGGGGTAAAAGCCATGTTGGGAAAAAGTAACGAAAATGTAGTGACCCTGTCCCGTTTGAAGTTTGACGACAATGGCCGTAGTTGCATGTTCGGCGGTTGAGTAAAGGTACCGAGGTGAATTTGTAGAAGGCGGCACCGACTAATCCCTGTAGCCATCTCGGCGTGGTACCCTGACATGGTACATGACAATTGCAAGGACACGTTGACCTGCAAGTCCGATTTGTCGCAGTCTCTATTGTTTCGATCTTGACATAGGAAGTGACATCAATCCGCTGGGCGATCATGGCGTTATCCATACTTGATGGGGTTGTGCTCACGCAAGCCGCTTTCTCCATGGCATGAGGCAGATCGAGCGTGTTGTCATGTGTCATAGATTCTGTAGATAGCTCTCCCGCGTGGACGATGGTAACGTCTTGGATAACGGTATAAAGCCTACAAGTCGTTTTCCTATATACGCAAAGTCAGCTACTTCGCCCAGCGACATTAGCTGATCCAGAGTTCTCTCGCGAAACCGACCTACGACCGGCAACGGCAGACTTCAACTTACAAGTTTGTCGCACTCATCGCCAATACGAAGCTCATTTTCAATGAAGCCAGCTCCTGCTGGTATGTGTTAATCCGAGATTGCGCTTGACCTCCTCCCAACACTTCCATCCACCTCGCACGTCTCCTCAACTCTATGACTTTATCAGCACCGGCCACTTTTTCTCGCTTACGTAGCACATTCTCCAGTAGATGCTTAGTGAAGGCGTCGACACAGCTCGTTGCTCGATCCAAAAGTCTGTTGTATTCGACCCGATGTTCTAGCGGAAGCTGGTCCTGGGTTTCTTCTAATGATCTCTGCACCAACGTGAGAGTAGCCTTGAAGTCGGTGACTTCGTTGATCGCTCCAAGCACGTTGAGGGAAATGCCGCGCAGGCCCCATACTCGTTCCAAGATCGAGGCGACATGGCTGGCTGCGCTGACGAGGGTAATTATGCTGGCCACTAGGCCTATGGCTTCCATCGTGAATTCGCAAACGCGGGTAGATGAGTCTAAGACTTCCGCGTCGTTATGATGAACTCGACAGAAGCAAGGTGGGAGGACATGTGGAGGCCATGAGGCGCAGTGCTGCGTCCTATAGTTGTCCAATGTTATTTGTACGACACCAAGTGTGTAAAAGAGGCATACACAGCCCACATGCGGTCAGATAAGTCCTGCGATAGGTCGCACCGCTGCGCGCATACAGCCTGTCATTGGATCCGCATGCACATCTAGTCGTGCATGCACAGCCTTGTGTCGTGGCACCCATACGCGCAGAAGGTGCAGTAATGAACAACCTTGTAAGGTATGGTTGGAGTACAAGTCCAGTGTCGTGACGGAAATTTGCCAGGTGTTGCGCGACAATGCATTGCGCGAGGGACAGCGGAAGACGAGATGAGACGGTGTTGTTGATCAGATCTCCGAGAGCCGTGATTTCCCCGCCGTCACGTGCCCTGACTCTTGGCGTGTCGAGCACGCAATTCGCGCTAGGGCCAAATTCTCGTCGCGTCAAGGCGACATTCCGCGCATTTGCAATCTATCGCCCGAAAGACGTGCTAGAGCATCTGGACAGGGCCAATCATGGTGTCTGTGAAGGATTGCGTCTTGCTCGGTCGGTCTTCTGCCGATGTCGCTACTGGACGACGGCACTTTTTGGCTGCTACGAGGCGGCAAACCCACGACACGGATATACTCCCACGGTGAAGCCTCCGGAGAGTCGTAGCACCTCCCCCTCTCTCATATACCCCAAAGAGAGACTCTCACTGCCTTTCCTGAAAGGCTGAGTTGCTGAGGCGCATACTTGTATTCAAGATGCATTTCCAACAGACCGAGTCTGCCGGCCCTGGGGCTGAGCAGAACGCACCCAAGGACTTCTCCAAGAAGTCGTCCAGTCTACCGTTTGGTCAGGACCTCTCCTACCAATCTATCGGTGGCCCCACCTACCTCACGGCCCAAACTCTCGTACAGCAGGTCGCATACGCCCTCTCGGATAAGATCTTCGCATACTCGGCTGAGTCGTTCGACTTGGATGTCGCAGTCAAGTACTGGCAAGAACAGGGCGAGAAGAATGCTTTCGGGTACCAGACTGGTGTTTCATCCCTTGAGACGAGGACCGGTGCTGGTGCCATCGCATTGGGATACATGTTCTCCAAGGACTACGACTTGAAGAAGCGCCATATCCCCCAGTCTATCGTCGCGTCCTCTTCCACGTTGAACTACCTCCGCGCATCGCTCGACCAGCTATCCGCCCTCTACTCGGTCGCGAACCCTTTGACCGCCCACATCGCCGCAGTCGACTACTCCGCCAACTCCAGCGCTGGCCTCGTCACCGACTATGTGTCTTCCCTCACACTCGCCGAAGACCTAGGCCTGGGTCTCGTCTGCAGCCCGTCTGTCTTTGAGGCTCAGCACATGTCCCTTTTCGCTACCCTCCTCTCGAGCGTCCTCCCCACGATCCACACATACGATGGCATTAGCGTTGGAAGGGAAACAGCCAGGCTGGTCGATACTCTCGACCAGACCAGACTGCATAACAGCTACGAGGCGGTGCTCAAGGCCGTTTCGGAGGTTGACAAGAAGCATTCTGACACCGCTGGTCGCGTTCTACGCCTGCTACAGGCCTTCAACGATGAGCTTGGCGAGGACTACAAGCTCTTCGACTACTACGGTCATGAGCAGCCAGAGAGCGTGCTTGTTGTCTTTGGAACTGTAGAGGCTTCCTTGACCGCTCAGGTCGCCAACGCCTTGTCCAAGGATGGCGACAAGGTCGGTGTCGTCAACGTCCGTGTCTACCGACCGTTCGTTGAAGAGGCTTTCCTTGAGGTACTCCCCAAGAGCACTCGTCGCATTGCTGTTCTGGGTCAGGTCAAGGACGAGGCTGCCGTGCTCGACCCCGCAGAGTACTCCAGGCTCTACTCGGACGTCTTGGCGTCAATCCAGTTCGCCTACGACAGGGACGTTGAGGTCACTGATGTCAAGTACTCGCGCGAGCAAGTCTGGACGCCCAGCAACTTCCTCGATGCTTTCCGTCAAATCCACGCCGAGAAGGAGGGTGCTGAGGTCCGCTCGTACGTCGACATCTTGAACACTGCCGACGTCAAGCAGTACAGCTTCTGGAACCTCGACGAATCATCTGCCGCCAATGCCCCAGTTGTAGTTGGTAAGCTTCTCTCGAGTGACTCTTCCAAGAACGTCTTCGTTCGCAGCGGCCACGACAATCTCGTGCAGGGCGGTGTTACTCGTACCGACATTCGTAATGCCGACTACACCATCGAAGCGCCTTATGCTGTTGAGCAAGCCGATGTCGCTTTCGTTGGCGACATTGCTATCCTGAAGGAGTTTGACGTCCTGAATAGCGTCAAGCCTGACAGCTCCATCATCGTCAAGCTGCCCGGTGTGAAGAACGAGGACGTTGAGAAGAAGCTCTCACCTGCTTTCCGCAAGGCTCTCGTGGACAAGGACGTTCAGCTCTTCGTCCTTGATCCTGCTTCATCTGAGGCTGTCGCTGAAGATGAATCTCTGGAGTCTTACCTTACCCAGCTCGCCTTCTTGAAGGTTGCTCGTGAGGACTTGCTCTCCTCTGGCCTGAGCAAGCTTGCTGCTATCAACGGTAGCTCTGAGGTCTTCGACAAGCTCACCCAGCAGCTCGAAAGCGCTCTTCGTGAAGTGGAGGTTCCTGCTGCTTGGGGCACTGTTGAGGAAGATGTTGAGCCTATCCGCCTCCCCTCAGACATCAACGTCAACAGCTTCGCTCCATTCGACCGCATTGAGTCTGAGCCACCAACCCTGCTCAAGGACTGGCAAGTCGCAGCCAAGGGTTTTGCCTTCAAGGAGGCCTTCGGCACTGCCAACCAAGTTCGTCCCGATCTTGGCTTTAAGACCAGTATCGTCCATGTCAAGGAGCGTCGCCGCCTCACACCGCAAAACTACGACCGTAACATCTTCCACATTGAGTTCGATCTCGGTAACTCTGGCGTTACTTACGCCATTGGCGAGGCTCTCGGCATCCACGCAGAGAACGACGAGGCACAAGTTGAAGAGTTCATCAAGTGGTATGGTCTCAACCCCAATGAGATCGTCGAGGTTCCGTCTCGTGACGACCCCAACGTTCTGGTCAACCGCACCGTCTACCAGTCCCTTATGCAAAACGTCGACATCTTCGGCCGCCCACCAAAGCGCTTCTACGAGTCACTTGCTGAGTTCGCTGATGACGAGCGTGAGAAGCGCGAGCTTCTGCAGCTTCTGAGTGCTGAGGGTGCTACTGAGTTCAAGCGCCGTGCTGAGGTTGACACTGTCACCTATGCCGACATTCTACTCGAGTTTCCGTCTGCCCACCCAAGCTTCCACGACATCGTTCGCATCGTCAACCCCATGAAGCGCCGCGAATATTCCATCGCCTCTGCACAGCACGTAACACCCAACTCCGTTTCTCTGCTCATCGTCACTGTCAACTGGGTCGACCCCAAGGGCCGTGACCGTTTCGGTCAGGCGACTCGCTACCTCAACAGCCTGAAGGTTGGCGCGCCTGTCACCGTTTCCGTCAAGCCGTCTGTCATGAAGCTTCCTCCCAAGACTACCGCACCCATCATCATGGCCGGTCTTGGAACTGGTCTCGCGCCTTTCCGTGCCTTCGTCCAGGAGCGCGCCTACCAGAAGCAGCAGGGTCACGAAATTGGTGAAGTCCTGCTTTACATGGGCGCTCGTCACCAGCGTGAAGAGTACCTCTATGGCGAGGAATGGGAGGCGTACCAAGACGCCGGTATCATTACCCTCCTCGGCCGCGCCTTCTCTCGTGACCAGCCTCAGAAGATCTACATCCAGGACCGTATGAGGGAGTCTCTGAAAGACATCCGCAGAGCGTACCTCGAGAAGGAGGGTAGCTTCTACCTCTGTGGACCGACATGGCCTGTACCTGATGTCACCGAGGTGCTCCAGGAGGCTGTCGAAGTTGAGCACAAGGTTAAGAATGTTGGAGCTAAGAAGATTGATGGACGCAAGGAGATTGATAAGTTGAAGGATGATGGCCGTTACGTACTTGAGGTTTACTAGGACACGCGTTGAAATGAGATAGATCCACGATATTCCATTATCATTAAGGCTTTGTGCCTGTTACTGCAAACTATCTCGCTATACATCAAACACCATTCGTGATTTTTCGAGTGCTTCACAGCCTCGTCGTCAGTGGGAACAGGGAGTTCAACTGGTTTTCACTGACCATGTAGCCCCAATTCGTCACCCCAAGGAAATCAAAACCGTTGCCAAAAGTACCTTCACAAAACTCTACTTCTTCGACATGCTCGCCAGGCTCGCCTGCTTGGCACGAAGGTGCGCAAGTTTGAGCTCCGCCTCAGCGACGGCCACCGCGGCTTTGACGCTCTCCTCGTCTTCGACCATGGCTCCTTCGTGACCGAAAACTCCTGGATTGCCGAAGTTGTCGACTTGCTCGCCGTCAAGGCCGGGTGACTCTCGCTTCATGTTGGGGGTCTCGCGGCCGGGGTGTGGAGGACCTGGTGTGCTGGGCGAAGGGGCCATTGGTGGTGGTTGGCGATGGAAAGCCGGGAAGGGAGATGGATGAGATGGTTGGCGGCCTTGGTTCGGAAACGGGGGCTGGCCGTAAGGTGGATAGCCGTAGAAGCCTGGGTAACCACCATAACCACCGAACCCACCACCCTGCGGAGGCATGACCGGACGACCCCATGGATCGATGGACGGCTGGCCGTAGTAACCGCCATACATACCGGGCGGCGGAGGATGAGGCGGCGTCAGCGATTCCTCCTTGACGGCTTCTTTCTTGGGTGTCTTGTGCTTCTTGCCGCGAGGAGTCGATGAAGGGGACTGGTGGTAACCACCCATCACCCGGTGACCCTCTGAAGCACCCCCGCCCAACTTCTGCTTCCCATCGTCATCCGAATCCGAATCCGACCCCCCAGAACTGTCCTGACCGCCATCACTCCCTTCTTCGCCATCATCCTCCTCCTCACTAA